GTCCCTTCCGACCCTACTAACTATGAAACTATGAAAGTTGCCTGGTCTTCCCCCTTCCCCAAAACCCACATTAGGCAACAAGGCCATGCGTCTCTTAAAGCACAGACTTCTCTGTTCATCCGAGCGCGCTCCGTCGTGATGAAGAATGCAGTTTGCATGCTTCCTGATTAATGGCGTATTGCGGGCCTGCGTGTGTAAATTATTTATGACGTGGAAATCCAGAATAATTAGCTGTCATCCCTCAGTAGAGTAAATGAATTGTAGTGTTCATCATTCAGGAGACAGTCCATTTCTTACTCTTGGCTATGATCTGATTTTTTGGCGTGCATTAATTCTGAGTGGGTTGGGTTTTTTTTTTCCTCTCCTACCTTAGTCATTCTTTCTCTTCCCACCTCCCCTCCCCTGCCCTGTTGTGAAGCTGTCTGGTGTGTCTTCCCCATAATACAGAGCCGTCACAGCTCTGCCAGTCCCGGGTCTCCTGCCTCCAGGTCTTCTGTTCCTGCTCTCCTCCTTCCACCCATCCTCCAAATGCAACGGTCCCACCACTTAAATTTTACTTTGTCCTCTGATCATGTTTGATCTGTCTAAACGTTCCTGTCCTAGAGAGCCGCTCTGCCGCTGGCATGCCGTTAGATGCATGTTAATTGCCTCGGGCTTGAAAGCATATATTTGCTCCGGTGAAAGCCGCTGCCTGATACTCGAGGGTTAATGCTCCCTCGAGAGGCAGTATCGAGCACATTGTATATCAGTGGTTTTCCCTGCTGGTGAGAGAATTAGGTATTGACAGTTTAATAATGAGATCCCATTGCTATTGACTTGCTCTGTGCTGTGTTCCTGCTGCACACTTTGCTGCGGTGCTTATCTGGCTTTTGAACATGGTTTACAGAGTGATAAAGGCGTAGCTTATTAAATACCAAAAACCATATTCAGGGAACACTAAGGGACTGACTTAATCTAACAAAAGCCAGGAAATTCAGAGTAAAAGCTCAGAGCCAAATTCACCCTTGATATAGATAGATGGCCTTCGATTGAGCGACGCTAGAGGTGAATTGGCCTCATTGTGTCCACATGCAGGAGTTTTACTGATGTGGGGACTTGGTGAAGGGGTGGCGAGGGGGTGTAGGAGAGAGCAAGGTTTCAGCTCTTCCTTTCTCAGGTCGTGGTGGGGAGAGGAAGGTATTCTTCATGGATAAAGATGGCCTTTTACTGGTCTTGCAGCTCCTTGCACGGTGCTGGCCCTGAGGCATGACAGTATTACAAGTCATATTGAAATGGGAGGCTCTTTGGAGTGATTTGGGAAGAGGTTTGCAGTGCAGCATTCTTTGGTTTTCAATAATCGGAGGAAATAGTTGTCTTATACCAGGAGGCAGGGAGTTGGGACAGCGGAGCCCTGTCTAAGACTTTACCATTGACTCAAGGTGCGGTGTTCAGCCAGCTGTCCCATTTCTCTACCACTGCATTGCAGTGGATGTGATATTGTGGCCCTACTGTACAAGTTGGACTGGGAGGTCCCAGGACCTGAGAAGAAAGGTCCTAAGACCCTGCAGAGGATCAAAATAACCTCAATTTAATGAGGATTGAGAAGGGGGAAGAAACCCTGAGACCAGTGGTAGAAGCTGCAGGGGAAGGTTCTCGCTTACAGTGAAAACATGAGATCCTGGTGTGTAGATGAGAAGAAGGAAGGGGGAGTGGGGCTAAGAGCAAGATAATTCAATGGTCTTTAGGAGAGAGTAACCTGAAAACAGAGATGACTGCCTTGTCCCAGCCTCTGCACGTTAACTTTTGGAAATTACTTCCATGTGTCGATAATAAAGGTTTTATGTAACTGTGTAGGGGGTCACATGCACGCAAACCTGATCTCCCCGGGATTTTATTCATCTGAGAAGTTTCAAACAGCTGCCACTTATTTTAACAAACAACTTTCTAGAGATGGGTTGCTTTTCCAGAGTTATGTGCCGTCCTAGCTCCCAAATGCAAAATCCCATCTTTATTAAGTTACCTCAGTCGGAGGCCCAGGCAGGGTGAAATTCTGTGGTCCACCTGTGCCGGCTTTTCTAGAGGTAAAAGCTTACAAACCCAAGCTAAGTGGATTCCCAATGAGCCTGGTTCCCCTTGAAAATTCAGTGGCAGTTCAGTGCTGAAGTGCTTCAGGCAGCTTTGAGGATTTCAGCTGATAAGGTTGATCATCAGTCTGCATGGAAGTGGGAATCTGGAAGAAAGGGGAGACTGCCACTGGCATGTCAGGCTCGCTCCCAGCACTGGGACCAGGGCACTCTTGATGTTTAAAGCAGCAATATTTTTTGCCTTGAAAAATTTTTCTTCCAGCCACTTGTCTGCCAAGTTTTGGCTGCATACGGATTAAAATGGATGCGTGTTACAAGTCTCTGGAGAACAGGTGTATAATGGAAGGAGAAGCTTTCTCATAATACTCATAGAGGAATGTTGATAATGTTGCCCACTAGTGAATATGGTCTCAAATTGAATTTGGGAGGACTCTGCTGTCCAACACAAGTATGCTGGATTGAATTATTGATGGATGCTGGTAAGACTAAAATGTCGTCATCTTGTGGCTGTTCATGTGGACAGTAGTTCTGTGTCTGCTCTAGCTTCTTGGCTTGGATTCAGAGAAAGGGCAGGTAGTTCAGTAAGCAAGTTGAAAAGGATGTGGCTACCCCTGTGTGTGTGGGCACCCCCTCTTCTGGTTGAGGCCCTTGGGCTCTGCTATATAAATGAGAACGATACAAGGGTAGCTGGATGTCGACGATGTTGAGTAACATCTCTCTGTTGCATTATGTCAACTTGTGTTTTTCTGCAGAAATGCATATACTGTCGGAAGCGGATGAAGAAGGTGTTGGGTGCTTGCATTCAGTGCTCCTATGAGCACTGTTCCACTTCCTTTCACGTGACCTGCGCCCATGCTGCAGGGGTACCCATGGAGCCGGATGATTGGCCCTATGTTGTGTCCATCACTTGCTTCAAACACAAAGCAGCCAACCATAACGTGAGTGTCTTCTGTTTAAAAGCCGCTCCTCCTACATCTTTTGTCATGACTCACGATCCCTGATCGGTGGCTTTCCTCTGTTCCGTAGATCCAGTTTCGGAGGGAGATATCGTTGGGTCAGACAGTGATCACAAAGAACCGGAACGGACTTTACTACAGGTGTAAAGTGATTGGCATGACAACACAGACCTTCTACGAGGTCAACTTTGATGATGGCTCCTACAGTGACAATGTGTATCCAGAAAGCATTACAGTAAGAAGCTCTCTAGACTCCTCTATAATTGCACCACATCCTGTAAAATGCAGTGATACATTCTTGGTACATCAAAGGAAAGAACAATAAAGAAAACTGTAATGCATTTTTTATAGGAGATGTAAAAAATAGTACTAGCTGCATACCCAATACATATGATATTCATATATCTCCTTCAGAATTATGGTTTTATTGATTACCACCTGGATTCCTTTCTTCTACTCATTTTCCAAGACTCGTCGTCAGCATGTGCTGATTGATGACTTTGCACAATGCAGTCCGTTTGTTCTGTCATGTCAGCGATTTGCATATTTTAATCTGAACCATCTCTCTCTCTGTCTGCCCTTTTTGTCGGGGGGAAGCAGATGGACTGCATGCAGATTTGGTTTCTCATAGTAAACAGGTCATAGGAAATGTATTGAGTAGCTAGAACTAGGAGTTTAGGTGCCATCCACAGTTTTGCCACTGATTCACCATGCAATACTAGCCAAGTCATTCACCCTCACTTTTTCAGGCAGAATTGTGTGATTTGGTGCAAGCACATGTCCATCATCTTTCTAACTTTTCTTCTGTGTGTTGTCTTCAGAGCAGAGACTGCATCCAGATGGGACCCCCTCCAGAGGGTGAGGTGGTTCAGCTACAGTGGACTGATGGAATTGTCTGTAAGGCCAAGTTCATCGCAGCCCAGATCAGTCAGATATATCAGGTAAATAGGGAGGAGTTCAAACACCCCCCATCCCCGTCCACCTCCCATGCTGGCTGGTCCTTCTGTATACTGGAGAATTTATACCTCATAGGTACAAAAGGCTTATTGTGTTTCTGAAGATGCAGTGTGGCTTTTTGGGGATTTACATTCCCTTTGGTCTTACAGGATCTGTAATGCTAATGTATAGAGCAGGATGAAGGATTTTGTTCCAGAACATGGATGCACATATGCACAAACACAGCCTCCTTGTGTCCAGATTTGTGTCACTTGTGTCTGCCCTTAACAGTAGTATAACTAAGGTTGGGGGCCTGGGGCAGTAGGGGCAACTGCTCTGGGCACCAACTTGTTGGGGAGGGCATGTGAAAAAATATGACTGCTACTGGCAGGTTGCCTGTTCACAATTACAGCAGGAACTGGAAGTTGTCACTTGTGCTTTGTCCCAGGCACCTGGCTGTGTCCCTACATCGCTGGCCCTTCGAGATGTACAGTGAGCTCTTTGGGCACCTATACACGAGCAGCGAGGCTGCTCTGACACTGTAATTACCGTGCATCGAAGCAGGCTTAGTTAATCGAGTCAGCTGGAGCGTGGTAATTACTGCTGTCAGCATCATGTGCATCAGCGTCCCCATGCTTAAAAACGGTGGTGGGGGTGCTTTAACTAAAGCTCGTCAAACAAGCTTTAGTAAGCCACTGTGCTGCCATTTTTAAGCGCAGGGATGCTGATATATGAGATGCTCTGGGCGCTTTAATTAAAGCAGCTCAGTGAGCTACTCTAATGACAGCACCGCCATCCCTCCTTCCTCCTTCCTGGAGCACTCATATAAAGGCTCTTAAATTTTCAGCTTTTCTCTCAGATGGAAATGTTTGTGCAGGTGGTTCATCGCCATGCAGTGATTGATATCCATAATGAGGGAATGGTTAGTAACCATCAAATGATTTGTTAGTGTCCACAGAGGATTTTTTAGCACGAAGTAACATTCCTTCTAAAGGTAGAGAGTTCTACTAAAACTAAAATAAATCATTGATTTCAAGAGGCCCTGGTCTCTGGAAACTGCTTTGATTAGAAATCGAACCCTTCCTCTGTCCCTTTTGCAAATAGTTTCTGACAGAAGGTTCACCAGTGCCAAGGAGCTTGTAACGGAAGAAAGTCCCTAACAGAGAGGACTTTCTGAAGGGTGAGACCACTAGTATCCACTGGGGGAATATATAATCGGGAACTGAATGGCTCAGGATTGTTAATGGGATTATATAAGGCATCAGTTCACTTCTGACCCAGGTCAAAAGTGATGTGATACCACCAGCATCTGGTAGCTGTCTGATGGCCTATGTTAAATTAACTTGTGACCTGCAGCTCCTAGTGGATGGGTAGTTACATAATTAAAACCCTTTTGGGAGTTTAAGTGGAGGTCAGGATAGGAAGGACTTGGAGGGCTCCTATACACATGCAGGTAGGCTGCTCCAATGCTCATTCCATAAGCTTTAGTGAAAGCACCCCCGCCAGTCCTTTTCATTGTGGGGACACTGATGCACGTGATGCTCTGGGCGCTTTAATTAGCACAGCTCTCTGAGCCTTGCTAATTAAAGCGGCCCTGCCTCTTGGAACACATCTGTAAACGCCCGGAGAGACTACTCTTGCCCCTGGAAACTCTCTTCAGTCACGGAAGGTAAATGGGCAGAGCAGCTTGTGGGAACATTTTCCTCTACTGTCTTCTCTCTTACCTGTTCTCTAGTAATAACTGGATACCTTTAAGTCTCCAGTTTTGTCATCCACATTGTCTCCCTCCCTTTCTGGTAGAGACCAGAATCAGCTAGTTTTGTCATTTAAGAGGCTGTGTGCTGGGCCAGCTCCTTTGTTTGGGGCCCTGTTCCCCATATGAGGGTTTTGTTGGTAGAATACTAGTAATTACCAGCAAAGGAGGAATGGACTGCGATACATGCACAGCGCTGGTATTTCAGCACTAGAGAGTCTACAAAACGCAGCATGTTCATTTGACTACCTCTAGGCTAAGGGGTCTGCAAAAGCTTTAGCAATCCCAAGGATTTGGGGAAGGTATCAGGTGTTCCCGGTACGCTTCCATTTAAATTAACACCTGTTGCAGTATAAAAAGAACCATTGTGTGATACACGTTGGTGCCTCTGAGCAACTGTAAAAAGGGCAGGGAAAACCCTTCTTTGCTTTTTGTTCAAAGGAAGGATCTACCATACACTAAACTCCACTCACTCTAGGAACAAAATGCCCAAGGCCTGGACTTGCGAGCAGAAGAGCATAGTAATCCGGCTTTGCACAATAATGATCTCCTTGATATGATGAATCTTAACTGCTGCAAGGGAAACATAATCTGATTTAACCTGCATTTTAAATAAATTTAACTTTTGTATCACTCCATGGAAGATCTATTTTTTTGTCTGCGCTTTCTGATTAAATCAGAATGTAGGGATTTGACATTGATTGTGTAGAATAACATTAAAGGCTAAACGGTTGAAAATAAGCAATGCCATTGCCAGCACGAAATGAGAGAAAAATGTGCTTTTTGCATCTCCTGTAGTTACCTGCAAGCAGGGAGAAATAGCTTTGAAAAGTCATTTCAGACTAGTTTCCTGTTTCATACAATCTTTCACTTAATTGTGCCTTATTTTTTGTCCACTTTAGAACTGGATTAAACTAAACCTTACCAAAGCACTTTTAACATGGAATAAGAGTATCCACATATTGAGGTAGTGTGGGATAGCTTTTGTGGCTTAAATTCACCTTCCTTTCCCCCCACCCTCCTCTCCCCATCTTATTTTGCAGTGGCTTCACTGTGCAGCCAGCCACTAAGTCCAGGCTTTGCACATTAGATTTAGAGGTTGAGTTTGTAAGTGCTGACCCCAAAATTTGTCTTTAAACTTCCTCTGGGTGTTCATGGAGTGGAAGATTAAAGTCTGCTTATAACTCACTCCTTTGCATATAACTGTTACAACTGACGCATGGTTCTTGATTTGAGAAACTCAGTGGTTATTGCATATCTGACGAGTCACAACATCGGTGCACAGTGTGGGGCCACAGATAGGGGAGTCCAGAACATGGTTTCTTTCTGTTCACTGAGTTTTTCCAATTTAACCCAGGCTGTACCTTTCTCTTAAATGGTGCTGCATGTGGTTCTACATTATTTAGGAGGGTAGAGTCTGGAGCAAAGGAAGCAAGAGGCTTTGAACACTTTATCATGTAAAACTCTACATGCTCATTCTGATGAATAAACATCCCTGTAACATCTCTTGTTGCATAATTCATGATATAATCAGCGCTCAGAGAGGTTTGGGGTGAGGAGTTGATGCCATTTGGTAATACCTGACTGATTTGTTATTGCTTGTTAAAACAGAAATGTATTTTGGTAGCTGGCATTGTTTCATTTTGGCTTGTGTAAAACTTGCCTCATCTCAGAAGGAGAACGGGCTGTCATGAGACTATCTCAGGGACATTACAGCAGGGCTGAGTATGTGGTTCTTTTAATAGTTCCCAATAATATTACAGTGTCCATTGGAGAGTTTTGAAGAAAGGGTGAGAAAAATTCAGAGCTTGGGAGATACTGAAGTATAGTCAATGGTGAAGCCAGTCAGCTGATGATGGCTTTTCTTCTCTCCGCAGGTGGAGTTTGAAGATGGTTCCCAGCTGATGGTAAAGCGTGGTGATATTTACACCTTGGAGGAAGAGCTTCCCAAGAGAGTGAAATCCCGCTTGGTAAGTATTGAAGCAGCAAAATAAAATAACTTCTGCTCTCAGAGGCTCAGTCAGTTTGAAAAGGAAGGCCCAGCTTTTGTAAGATGCCAGTTCATTCACAAACAGCCTCAAGTTTTACAGTTATTCATTAAGACATTTGAAAAGGTTGTAAACAATTCCTCTTCTGCATATCAAGACACCGTACCTAGATGAGATCCTGGTCATGTTTAGGAGACCAATTGCACAAACTTTGTCATGGAAATCCTGCAACTTCAGAGTAATCAGTTGAGATGGACCGCAGTCCACTGGTGTCTGGGAAGCTGGTCGGTTAAACTGGGACAAACTGCTGCTCTTACCAGTTGCAGGCTATTCAAAGAACTTTGACTGTGGATGTGGAACACGGGACCCATTTGTTTGAATTCTCACCCAAAAGACCAATATATAATTAACTGCATGGCAGTGAATTAACCTTCAGATTAGGAAGGTCTGCATTGAGATTCTATAGAAGTGGAGTCTGTGGATGTAGAGACACACACTCCATCCCATCCCTGATTTTCTTGTTTGACCTTTAAGGCCATCACTTCCAGCCAGAACGTGAGTTCAGATACCCGATCCTGTGGAAAGCATACAGCAGCCTGCTTTGTTCTAGATGGCTGTAATGTCGACTGTTTCCTCCTGAAGGCAGAAGTGTGGAACTGAGCTTTGGAAAGATTAAATTGAAAATAAAATGAGGTGCACTAGTATTGCCAGACCAAGTCAGTCCCATTGCCCACAGGGTTTCATGTGTGTCGGCGGCTAGTAATAGGTGGTTAGAGAAGTGGCACAAAAAGCCTCTCATCCCCAAAAGTAGGTGGAATAACCTGACAGTGGGAATATCGGAGGAATCTGTTACCAGTTATTAGTTGATGAGCGCCATGGAAGATTGAAGGGTTGGTTTTTTTTAAAACCACTTCTGAAAATCCTTTTGTTCTCCCAGTGTAACTCAGGATGTTCTCGTTATCCCTATAAATGTCTCATCCTTTTTGAATCCTCGTGATCTCAATGAGATGTTAGGGCAGCAGGCTCCAAGTTGAGTCATGCTTTGTGTAATTTAGTCATCTGTTCTCTCTCCTTTAAAAAACCCTGTCAGTTCTGGAGGCAGGGGCAACGCTGATGTTGCACTTTTGAGGGCTCACATATTTTCCTGGCCAGAGCCCTGCCTTCAAGCAAAGCTCCTGAGTGACTTTGAACGGTGAGATGGGGTGTGGTGGGGTTGTCACACTGATTGGTGCTGACCTTCAGGCATTGTAACGGAGAGAGGAGAGGCATGCAATTAAAAAGTGAATAACTCATCTGCCTGGAAACTTCTAACTTGGTTACATACCTCCTGTCCCAGAGATGCTAGGAAGGGTCCTGTGGCAGTGGTGTGCATAGTGCATTAACACAGAAGAGTTGGATGAAGGAAGGAAGCCACTGGAAGCTAATGATATTTTTCTCTCCCCTGAGAATATAAGAGCTGGCGTGTGGATAGTGGCATGATTCTGAGAGCGGCCCTCCCCAAGCTGTCTCTTTGTGACGTGGGAAGTGAAAGAAGCTTCAGTTTTCTGGGTGATTTGTTCTAGGAAGGAGCAGAAAAAGCAGGGGCACAGTGAGCCCTGGATTTGCGAGGCAGGAGCTAGAGTGGAAGAGACCCAACTCCAGGAAGGACGCAGACTCAATGGTTCCTCTAAGCCCAGCAACTTCCTCTGAGCTGGTTGCTGCGTTCGCCAGACTTTGCTGGCTCTCCAGCATGCACGTAGCAAAACATTCGCTTCTGGTTACCCAGGCAGTTTTGTGAAACGAGCACCCTTGGCAGCTGATGCCATTCGCTTTTTTGTTGCTTAGCTCTAACCGTTGTCCTTTCCTGTCTCCTGTAGTCTCTCAGCACTGGGGCTCCACAGGAAGAGATGTTTTCAGGAGATGAAGTGAAGGCAGCCAAGCGCCCCCGGGTCGGCAATTCCAGGAATCCCGAGGACTATGGACAGAATCCGGATTACCTGGCCTTCATGGAGACCCTGTTGCAGACGCAGTACCAGCCAGGAACTCAGAGCAACATGTTTTAATTAAAAGAAAAGAAAAAGGAAAAGAAAAAACCCTTTTCAACCTTACGGAAAAATAATCAGGAAACTGTGGAACAAAAGGCCAGCCCTGTGCAATAGCCTGCTGTGAATTCCTCTCACCTGCTCTCGGTTGGGACTACAAGATGATCGTGTCTGGCTACAGGCTACCTCTACTCTGCTAGACACGTTGCTGACCAATAAATAGGGAGCTCGAAACTCCGTCGGACAGCATTTCACATGGAGACTTCGGAAGCGTGCGCTCGTGGAGCTTTGCACCGGGCTCCTTTTTTTTTTTTTTTTTTTT